TTAGGTATTTTCTATGATGTATAATAACACTTTCAACATACATTTAGTTTTGGCCCTTAAATCCCGCCATATAAATGAAGTCAATTATAATCGTCTGCAGGCGCGGACACGGATAGCGTGCAAGGTTGGGCACCATCTTTTCGATTGACTTTTATTTTTAATTTGTATGAGATATTTTCAATATTATAGGCAGGGTTAGAGTTAACAACATTCGCCTTAATGTCATCACCAATTTATTTGTCATTTCTGTATTAACTTATGATATCCTTATTCCTGATTTATTTATCCATATTACTTGATACTACACATTCTCACAATATTCTTGATTGAGTGGAATTTTGTTTAGGATATTAAGAAGAACTCGATCGGGGCAATCAGCATATCCTTTATTATATCAGACGTAAAAAGTATGTTTGTACTCAGCCAAGTGAGCCAGCTACAGAGAGCTAAAAAAAATAAATAAATAAAATGCAATAATTTATTATTAACTAAAGGGTGGTTACAGCTGCACTCTCCAATGTAAGAAAATCGACATAACGGTATTGTCATGTGACGTATCACATGATAGAGGAAATTACAGCGTTTGATAAATAAACAAATATAAGATATTATTATAGTCAACGCAGCAGATATCATTAATGTTAGAAGAGTATCATATAGAAGTTGAGGTGAGTTAATTGTAACCAGTTTCCTAAAGATTGATAACATTTAGAAAACTGAACTTCCAGGCCAATATACAGTATTAGTATAGTAGGCTATTATTTCTTTATTTAGGTTAAGGTCGTTGAACGGTTACGTCACCTAAAATATGATTTACAAATAAATCTGTAATTTACTTGACTTCACCAATAATAAAAAGCAGCAGCGGGATGGCAAACATTTTAATCATTTTAAATCAAAACAAATTACAACAAAGTAATACAATGTCAAACAATTATTTACAAAATAAAACTCCCAAACCCCAAGACGGGGGGTGAAGACGTTGTATTAAGATTAAGAAGAAGGGAAATGGGATGTGAAGGTATGAAGCGCGCGGAGAAGCGAGGAATAATTTGTATCAATATAACGTTGATAACAATTACTTGACCAATATCCTAAAGCCTGAATTTGGTGGTCAGTGAGGCCCGAAAAACTAGCCAAAGTGGCAGCACCCCTTCGGAAGGAATGTCCACCATAGGAAGATGGCGGTAAACCCAATGCGCGAAGTGTAGTACGAAGTGCCTTCAGGAAAGGGCGATAGGCAAGACATCTGCCATCCTCGAGCAGGAAAAGCGGGGTGGACGGGGAGCCCGCTTTGACAATATCACCTGAAGCGCCGAACAGGGATCGAGGGGATGGTTGCGAAGTTTTGGTAAACAAATGATGACTGGCTTGGCTCGAAATTGCATGGTTTTTGTGATTTTAAGGCGCACAATGAATCCCCATGATAACAATGTTACATCCTTGCGTTGGATTTGAAAAATTGGGTCAAAGCGTGTTTTGACCAAGAAATTGTTAGGCCGCAAGAATCCAAAAAATCCTAAAAGACAAGCAGCCCAGAAAATACTGTTATTAAACGATTTTCCCAAAACACGATGAATACGTAGCAATAAATCGGGTGTAATCGGGGCTTTGCAACTTTGAGCTGTACCCAGTGCTCTTTTTACACCTGTTAGAAGGTGTTTTATGGACCAACTAGTTAAAGGGTCGGCGAGATTATTGGACTTATGCAGTATCGAAATAATATTTATATAAGAAATTATAGTACTAAACTTAAATTGTTTAACATCAACTAAATACGCGATAAACAATTCAATAGTATGTTGAGCCACTGGAAGCATTGTTAATTTCATTCTTGAACAAAATTCTATATAACACTTGAGATGGGTATTATATGTAGTAACAGTAGATTTAGCCCACCCCAGTTTTTGGAGTCGGAGTACCGAATCTTCCAGGTTTACACCACCTAGAAAAGTAGAAGTGACAAGAGACATGGTTAAGTAGCTCAACAGTACTAAAGTAATAATCATAACATGGTAAATAATGAAATAACTTTGAGAGCTGTCCCGGTTCATGGAGCCGGGAAGCAGCATCAGCAATCAAATTGCGACTGCCTAAAACATGAACCGTTTTAATATCGAAGTTATAAATTGTCGATATCCAAAACAATATACGTAAGCACACCATTAAAAATTTGTTGTGTGAAGACCCTTTATTAATAACACATTTGGTATCGGTAAACACAATAACCGTTTTGTTAGTCCAAAATGGACACCATCGCATGGCTGATAAAAGAACTGCAACAGTCTCTTTAACATTTATATGCTCATGTTCGACACAGGGTAAATCAATTGCCCAATTCACATAAAAAAATCACCGTTGTTAAACACCGGCACCCCCTCCAGAGGATGCATCAGTTTGTAATGAGGTGGTAGTTTTGGTATCGAGAAATTTTACTGTTCCGGAGAAAACACTCATAAAATTTATCCACCAGGTAATGTCTAAGTGAAATTCGGCAGATAATTTTACTTTTCCACTTCGTTTGACAGTGACGGCCATGTCTATTAGACGTCTAAGGAATATGCGCCCCCCCCCCCCCCTTGATTATTTGGCACGCCCAGTTTAGTTTTCCACAAAGAGACTGTAATTGTTTTAAACTTGCCCATTTCCGCTTTTGAAACACTAGCAAAAGATCAAGAAATTCAGACTGTTTATCCTGCGGCATGGAGAGAGTAAGGTTTTTGGTATTTAACAGTATGCCAAGAAAGAGCATCATTTGAGACGGCCCTGCAACCTTGTTCCAAGAAATATCGAATCCCAATTCGCGCAGAGTCTGGAGCAACAATAATAATCCCCGGTTACACAATGCAAAAGTGTCTTCGATGACTAAAAAGTCGTCGAGGTAAGCGGTACAGGTGACACCAAACCTAACAGACATTATCTTACATACTGCCTTACTAACAGTTTGAAAAATTGTCGGACTCTTTGCATGACCGAAAGGTAATTTTGAATCGTAAAAATACACAGGGTTAGTACCGCCCGAAAAGTGCCATTTAAGGCCAGTTAAATGGTAATCAGAGCTGTGACATCTAACCGATCTGTATGCGCTTTTCAAATCCACTTTAGCCAGATAACAGTTAGGAGTAATAAGAACAAGTGCATCTTTTAAATCCATGTAGGAGCAGCTGGTCTCGGACGTAAAAGAGTTCAAGGAATTTTCCTCAGGTGCGCTAGCATCGTGGATTAGGCGAATGTCACCACTAGGTTTAAGAATAGCTCCCAGCGCACTTATTATTGTCGGTTTTACTGAAGTTATTACATAGTTTCCAGCTGCAATTTCATATTTAATCTGTTCCTCAACTTTTTCTCTAAACATGAATGCTGACGAGTAATTATCACGTTCGATTGGTAGGTAGGGACCAAATGTTGTCGTTAGGGTGAACCCATGTTTTACACCACTCAAAATAAAATCTCTGTCTGTACAAGTGACAGGTAAAAGTCGTGTCCATGCGACATAGCGTAGGCCCCCACGCCTATCAACGTCAGCAGACGAAAGGGAGGTAACTCCTAATTTGTACTGTGGATCGAAGCAGTCTTTGGGTAAAAAAATTTGTGGCGGTTGACCCGTAATCACACCTTGTTTATGACCATCGATTGCCGAATGCGAATTAGAGAAGCACATAGCACAGTTGTGCATCAATTTACAATCGGTACGAAGGCACACATTACTGTTATAATTGCGACAGATTTCTCTACTGTCAGGCAAAAATGTTCCCTTTGCTCGATTAGATGATGACCATGGTTTGTTGAAAACCGGCATTGGTTTATTATATGATTTTGAAAAATATGGCACGGATGGAAACCTAGTCTGTTCTGACAGGGATGATCTCTTTTTAATACCAATTGAAATTCACGTAACTCTTGTAGATAGCTTCCCCATTCAAAGTTTTCATCCGCTTGACGATCGCGATATTCTTTGTCATATAATAGTACACTATACCATTACATATTTAGAAGCGAGACGGAAGAAGTCGGATTCTGTTTCATAAGTTCTTGCAGGATGCGTGTATTTGCATATCCCCATTCCTCAATGGTTACTTTGTCTAAAGACTTTCTTTTGCCTATGCGAAACTCTACATCGGTACCAATGGAAAAAGTATCACATGGCGCTACAGGATCCAACCAAAGAAAGTTTAAAATCTGTAATGCCTTGTCAGATTTTGTGATGCCTGGCGCTGATAAAACCTGTAGACTTGGGGGCGTGGCCGACGATATATTTCTAGTACGCACCTCACCTTGATTTATGTCGTTAGTTGAAGATTTGTTACCAGGAAAGTTGAAGGGGCGGTCATGCCCCTGAGTCTGTTCTCCGCCGTTGACAGGAGGATTTTCTGTTTGACGTCGAAGGATGGCTTTTTGGTTTTCAACTTTCACAGCTGTGTGAAGTTCTAACTGAAGGGTAACTAGCTCAGGATCGATCTCAGAAGCATTCGCTAAACTAGTGTGTTCGGGGTCGCCCTTTTCACGTGGAATGGCGGTCGAGGTTGGATCAGGACTAGCAGTAGCACTCGGCTGGGTAAAGACATCACCGATACCCGGTTTAATTTCATTGTCAGTCGAGTCGTCTTCCGACTCACAGTGATCGCCTTAAGGACATCTTTCATCTTTCCACCGGCATTAGGTCGTCTGTTTCTTGAAGATGCCATTTTTACATAGCACAAATTAAAAAACACAGGCGCATGGCGTTAGCATAATTCATATTACTTGATACTACACATTCTCACAATATTCTTGATTGAGTGGAATTTTGTTTAGGATATTAAGAAGAATCGCGATCGGGGCAATCAGCATATCCTTTATTATATCAGACGTAAAAAGTATGTTTGTACTCAGCCAAGTGAGCCAGCTACAGAGAGCTAAAAAAATAAATAAATAAAATGCAATAATTTATTATTAACTAAAAAGGGCGGTTACAGCTGCACTCTCCAATGTAAGAAAATCGACCTAACGGTATTGTCATGTGACGTATCACATGATAGAGGAAATTACAGCGTTTGATAAATAAACAAAGATAAGATATTATTATAGTCAACGCAGCAGATATCATTAATGTTAGAAGAGTATCATATAGAAGTTGAGGTGAGTTAATTGTAACCAGTTTCCTAAAGATTGATAACATTTAGAAAACTGAAATTCCAGGCCAATTATTTATACTGCATGCAGACCTTACGTACGTCCTTTATTTCGTGTCATTTCAGTTATTTATCAATGATTCATAATTATTTAAATTTGAAATATAGGTCTATTAACTGTCAGAATTACAGTGAGAACACTAATTTTAAGCCAGTAAACCCCAGTTGTCATGCAAAGCTCAAACTGATCACCAGTGAATATTCGCTAGGCCGCGACAATCACTGATGATGACATCGATGCAACTTAATGAGCCACAAATATTAACTTTTTTCCTCTGACAAATTAAGTTCTAAAACATTTATTTTATGTATTAGAAAAATAAATAACTATGTTTGAATTATTTTTCTGAAAAATTTGAGTGTAAAATTTATAATGGGTATTAAAATGAATAACATGCTTGAATCAGTAACATCTTATGTAAACAATGCATGCGCCATTGAGCCAATGATTGACGCTGCGTAATATGACGTCATGTGTTGAAGGCAGTCATCTTTTACAGTAATACTCTGTGAAACAGATAGATGCAAGATATGTATGTGCCTACACTGAAATTGAATGACTTCTTTGATTTAAAATGGATCAAAAGTAAAATCAGATTTTGTTTTAATTTGTTTTGTGGCATGACAGTCTGTCTCCATTGAAATTTCTAGGTCTATAGTTAAACATGCATTATGTAAGAACTAAATCTGCCTATTACAGACCTCAGCAAACCTCAGTAGATTCCAGTGCCCTACATCTAGCCTCGGCTGTATGACGACACCTTTGAAGTATGTATTATCATACAAATATTTCAAAGTCTGAAGCAGTTTTTCTTTCAAGTTTATCCGATTTTTTTCAAACAAGGACAACTTTGCACTAAAAATTCTACACACGCTTCGAACGACACAATTTTGAAAACTTCTTTTTAAAAGCGGCAAGTGATCCCAATATGTAAACCTGTGCCGCGTCGCAATTGTATAGGTGTAGGTACATATCACTTACCGTCATACAGCCGAGGCTAGATGTAGAGTAACTGAATCTGCCGAGGTTTGCTGAGTGCCTATTGCAGGTCTTTCTTTAGGCCTGAAATTAATGTTATAACTATTAATTAGACATTTATTAACATGTCAAGACCATAATCAACTCTCGATGCCAACGTTAATCTGCTGTCTTTAGTGGATTTGAATATATTTTGTGATGGATAATTTAACACAAGATGGATAATGAAGACTTTGATAATTATAGAACCAACGTTAGTAATGATGATCAAGGCTAGCCGAAAATTGAATGGTTAATGTCTTGGTTCAGAGTGAAGCAATTTGGCTGAAATTTTCAGCATATTCTATTTTCATTGTGTAGTTTTTTAACTATTATAGCGAGAACTGTTAGTGTTTTATCTAATCTTACCTAATGTACCTTTAAGATATAACAAATGTTTTTATTCTGGTGTCAATTCTGTAAGACCAAAAAAAAATTATAATTAGTGAACAAATCGACATTCCACTGAATCAATCGACCACAAAATATTTCAATGATACAGCTGTCCCATCAAAGTCACACTTCAGATTAGCCCAATTCAGTGTGTAATTTTGAACTGAATCAAAGAGGTTTTAGTCCCCCTGCACTTACTATTAAAGCAAGACTAACCTAGTAGTCAGGTAAAGATACATATGGAGTGAATACCTGCAACATAATGTTTCTCATCGGAATCTGGTAGAGGGGTCCCTGAAGACCACCCCAGCGAAAATCGTCCAAAATAAGGATAGGTTTTCGAGTAATTAGGTGTAGAAATTTGAAAAAAATATATTCATGTTTTTCTTGTCTTTCTTCATTGTGCTCTTAACAATTTTACGGATGTAAATGAAATATTTGTTTTCTGAATAAATCAATGTCTTTGTGATTGAATACTTATTAATCTATAAAATAAGGAGAATTTTGCTTTGATAGATAAGATAATGTAGCCTGGTTTTAAAAATAGAACAGATAATTTTAATTTAAGATAAAAACCAGATGGAGATCTTGATCAACAGTTAAAATAATACTTTAAATCAAGATTGTCTGACCTAGAAATAAAATATCAAACTGCATTTAACAACATTTTATTAATGAATTATACCACATTTATGAATTAGATAACTAAGACGCTGACTCGCTAGCCTGGAGGTCGGGTGTTCGATCCCTGCATTGGCCAAGAAAGGTCATCCAGATTTTCCGGCGTGGTTTCCCCTTGTCAATGATGCAAGACGGAGGGCCTGACAAGGACAGCTGTCTAGTTGTTCGGATGGGATGGAAAACCGAGGTCCCGTGTACATATTGGCGTGTACGTAAAAAAAGATCCCTTAGCAGTTGGAATTTGATATAAATAAGAGTAGGCTGTAGCGCCGCTGCCCAGGTAAAATTTCCCTCATAGCACACTTTATGGCGTAAGCCCGTCTTCATTAGCCCAGTTTAAGAGCAGAACAGTAGGACGTTAAACTCCATTTCATTTCATTTCATTTCTGAATTAGATAACTTTAATTACTGTAAAACTAATAAAATAGTTTTCAAAGAAAAATACATATTTGTTTTGTTCTGATGTCGCAGTTTGACACTGAACCTGGCTTGGCTTGGTTTCTTGAGAATTGGACTTGAGTAAAAAGACTATGTTACGTACATATCTTACTTAAAAATTAAAAGTTCATATTTTCTATTGTTTCGATTACAGATATAGGACTATACAAGATGTGGTTAGTTTCATATTTACTGGTTGTTCAAGGCTTTATATTTGTACAATCAGCACAAAAACCAAACATTATATTAATTGTTGCTGATGATTTGGTAAGTTTAAAACATTATATTTTCATCAGAGGACAAAGGAGTCATTTTATTGTAATAACATATCAGCAATTTTGATCTCCTACAGCAGTAAATTCAATTATTCTCAAATGGCTGGCAAGTTGGAGTTAATCATACTATTTGATCAATGAAGACAGGCCAAACGAACTACTGTGGTGCATGATTCAGGTTATGGGATTAATAGTTGACCCTGGGGGCTGGATGGCCGAATGGTTATCATGTGCATGCTGCATCATAAGGTCTGTCATTGAGTCAACTCGCGTGGTTGCGATTCCCCGGTTGTATGTGACAAGGGGTAGAGTCAGTCGCCTGTCCATCCTTATGGGTTTTCTCTGGGTCCTCCGGTTTCCTCCCACTGTTAAAGACCCATACGCGCAAGCAAATTGTAGAAATAAAATTAAACCATGTGTTAGTCCCAAAACGACCTAGTCTGCGCCATGTGGACATTAAACCCCATTTCTCTCTCTCTCTCTCTCTCTCTCTCTCTCTCTCTAATAGTTGACCTAATGATTCTGAAGTAAGGTGTTTTTAAAAAATACACAATTTTTAGTCATAAATGATTATTTATTTGTCAGGGTTATGATGATATAAACTCTAATTGATATTATATTTTTCAGGATTATGTTGATGTCAGCTTTAATTGCTATTATATTTTTCAGGGTTATGATGATGTAAGTTTTCATGGTTCTAATCAGATTCCTACACCAAATATAGATTCTCTAGCTAATAAAGGAATTTTATTAAATAATTATTATGTACAACCTATCTGTACACCTACAAGAAGTGCTCTAATGACAGGAAGACATCCTATACATACAGGTATTATTCTCTCATTTACTTCTACTTTCATTTTGCTGCCATCAGATTAAAAAAAACCTCTTAAAAGTTGCACTATTGGTATGAGATATTAGGAAGTTAAATGATATTTTAATGATTGTTTTAGTGTTTATCAAGTCTACATTTCAAACAAAGAAACACAATTTTTATATTTACAAAAAGTTATTGATTTTATATATTTCCCATATATGTTTCAAAAACATGTGAAATATTTATATTGTTATAAATTGTGTTATTATAGTCATATGATTTTATTATTCCGTAAGTAATGTCTCATGATAGTTAAGTAGACTGGAATGTGATTATTAGTCACCAGATTTTCTATGATGTAAGTTTATAGACATAGTGATTTCATTTCATCTATAATATTATTAGGTTAATAGGATAGGAATTTCTGTTCATCTATAATATAATTATATCTATAATATAAGGTTAATCCAATGGGATATAAATTTCAGTTTAAGATAATGGATATAAATTTTAGTTCATCTGTTATACAGGGCCCACACATAGGGGGAAGCTGGGGGGAGCATATGCCTGGGGGTGATACTTCTTGACTTCTTGGGGGGGGGGGGGCAAATTATCTAAGTGCATACCAGAAATATTCAAAGGGGGCTGAGATAAATGAAATGAAATGAAATGGGGTTTAACGTCCTACTGTTCTGCTCCTATACTGGGCTAATGAAGACGGGCATACGCCATAGAGTGTGCTATGAGGGAAATTTTGCCGAGACAGCGGCATTACAGCATACTCTTATGTTGAATTCCAACTGCCAAGGGATCTTTTAGGTGCATTCCAATGTATACACGAGCCTCGGTTTTTCGTCTCATCCGAAGGACTAGACAGCTGTCCTTGTCAGGCCCTCCGTTCTGCACCACTGACAAGGGGAAACCGCGTCGGAAAATCGGAATGAACTTTCTCGGCCAATGCAGGGATCGAACACCCGACCTCCAGGCTAACGAGCCAGCGCCTTAACCAACTATCCACCGTGGCACCAGCCTTTGCTTCATATTTCAACAAATAGAGAGGGTAGAATTACATGTATGATTTTTCCAAGATATAGGGTTTTTTGATCAAATGGAGGGTTGGAGGGGAAATAAACATAGAAATTTTACATATAAGTTGATTTAATACATAGTTATTTAGATAAAGTGTTAAAAGTATAGAAATTGCATTTTAAAATTTCTTTAATCATAAAAAGTCAACTGGGCGCAGACACTGAACACAATAGTTACAGTCTGGAGCGATGGTGGGGGGTGTCACTGAAAAACTGATAACTTTATGTAGATTATTATTGAAATATTTTATTTCTCTGTTTTTTTTAACATTCTTTATTTGTATATTTTTAGGAATGCAGCATTCTGTTATTGTAGGAGATCAACCATATGGTTTACCATTAACAGAAACTATCATGCCACAATATTTTAATAAACTAGGATACAGTTCACATATAGTAGGAAAGGTATATTTACATTTATTTACAACTGACTTAAGTTCATTCAGAATAAAACATTCAAAGATCTAGGAACTAGAATTTCAAGGCTAGTTTACCTAAAAAAATCTTTTACCATTAATAATGACTAAATTGTGAACGATGTTGTTAAACATACATTATGCAAGAGCTAAATCTGCCTATTGCAAGTCTTTATTTAGGCTTCAGATGTTACAGAAATTATTAATTAGACCTTTACACAACAAGATTAAAATCAACTCTGTAGACCCATGGATGGCTTGGATACAGCCTCGTCCATGAAATGAAATGAAATGAAATGGAGTTTAACGTCCTACTGTTCTGCTCCTAACCTGGGCTAATGAAGACGGGCATACGCCATACAGTGTGCTATGAGGGAAATTTTGCCCGGACAGCGGCACTACGGCCTACTCTTATATCGAATTCCAACTGCCAAGGGATCTCTTACGTGCACGCCAATGTGTACACGGGACCTCGGTTTTTCATCCCATCCGAACGACTAGACAGCTTTCCTTGTCAGACCTTCCGTCCTGCATCACTGACAAGGGAGAACCATGCCAGAAAATCTGGATGAACTTTCTCGGCCAATGCAGGGATCGAACACCCGACCTCCAGGCTAGCGAGCTAGCGTCTTACCCACTTAGCCATGTGATCCCTCAGCCTCGTCCATTTAAAATTAAATCAATAAATGGCGGACCAAGCTAACATTTACTGTTACTCACTGATGTCACAACCGGAAACTGGTGATGAAAAGCCTGCCAAGCGAGCCTACCATCGCCATTGAGCATGTTACTTGATAATCGAGAATATGTGGGTGGAGTTATCGTTTGTCAATCAAATGATCGCCAGTTCTCATAGACAGTGAAGACACAACTGATGGCTATTTCTAGTCCAAACTTCTAACAGTGACAATTCCGTTCAGAACAAAGTAATTTGACTGAAATTTTCAACATTTTCTTTTTGTCCCCCGCCTTTCGAAGAAAGCAGGGGACTATTAAAATGGGTTCGTCCGTCTGTCTGTCCGTCTGTCTGTCCGTCTGTCTGTCCGTCACACTTTTTGGGACACAATAACTCTCTTCCTAATTGAGCTAGAATGTTCAAACTTGATGTATGTGTTTATTAGGTCAATGCCTTGATGGAGTTCGAAGATGAGCATTTTCCGCTTAGGGTAAGCAGAGATAAGCAATTTGATTGGTTGATGCTTTGGGACACGATAACTCTCTTCCTAATTGGGCTAGAATGTTCAAACTTGGTGTATGTGTTGATTAAGTCAATGCCTTGATGGAGTTCGAAGATGAGCATTTTCCGCTTAGGGTAAGCAGAGATAAGCAATTTGATTGGTTGATGCTTTGGGACACGATAACTTTTAATTGAGCTAGAATGTTCAAACTTGGTGTATGTGTTTATTAGGTCAATGCCTTGATGGAGTTCGAAGATGAGCATTTTCCGCTTAGGGTAAGCAGAGATAAGCAATTTGATTGGTTGATACTTTGGGGCACGATAACTCTCTTCCTAATTGAGCTAGAATGTTAAAACTTGGTGTATGTGTTGATTAGGTCAATGCCTTGATGGAGTTCGAAGATGAGCATTTTCCGCTTAGGGTAAGCAGAGATAAGCAATTTGATTGGTTGATGCTTTGGGACACGATAACTTTAGTTCTAATTAAGTGAGATTGATGAAACTTGGTGTATAGTTTCATTACAGTAATACCTTGACTAAGTTTGATAATGAGCATTTTCTGCTCAGGGTAAGCAGAGCGATACGCAATTTGATTGGTCGAGACTTTGGAAAACAATAACTCTCCTACTTTGATTGTTAGACTATAAGTAAAGATATACTGTTTGATTGTTCAATACTTTGTAAAAGATAATTTGTGATAAATTTATATGTGTCCTCTAATTATTTTCCTATTTCGGCGGGGGACATCAGCCTCATTGTTGGCTTGTTTTATCATCTATTTTTGAATTATTATAGCAAGAATGGCCAACTCTTTATAAAACTCTTAACTAGTGTATCTTTAAACTAAGAAATTTTTGTTTTTGAATTATATTTTTAACAAAAATCAAATTTGTATGGCCTTACTAATTACTCCATATTAATCTCAAGGTTACCAAAAGTTGATTTAGAAGAGGTTCTGTAAAATCTATTCATTTTTTAAAGTTCCTGGGCTTGAGTTTGGTTAATTTTCTGAGGCCTTATAAAATGCATTCAGTTAATGTCATATTTTTGAGATCTATATTGGACTATAGTAAATTCCCCTCTTGGTTTCAGTGGCATCTTGGATTTTTTGCTAAAGAATACACACCATTATATCGTGGATTTAAAAGTCATCTAGGTTACTGGCTAGGAGCAGAAGATTATTTTGATCATACAGCAGAAGCTAATACGGTGAGAATCAGAGAGCCTGTCTTAGTTTTCATCAGTTTTGTATTAATGATATGAGAAAATTCATTTCATTTCTGTTACATATTTTTAAAAATGAATTTTATTTTGTACGAAGTGTCCACATTGCCTAAAAATTCAAAAAAGGAAACAAACTAGCTCCTGGCAAATCATCTCCTGAGCCTTGCAACTTTGTACTTGTCATAGCATATAGTTTCGAGTGAGAATGGTAGTTGAGTCTGGTCACCTACTGCCAATCAGCTCACAACCTTATTCATCAACCCTCTCAGAGCAAGGGGGGGTAACTCAGGTCAGTCAGCATCTGCTTGCCACCACCCATCGGTCCTGATTAGGATTCTTTATTTATCAGTTGTTGAAAGAAACAATACTTTAGATTAGGGTGAGGATGGTACTGAATGATTATCTCAGACACAGTATATATCAGAAGGCATGACAACGTCTTTAGGTACGGGGATGCAATTTACCTTTTTCATCCTGTCATTCGTGGACCTGCCTCTCCATTATAACTTGCTATTCTTGGCAGACATTTTGTTAGGACAGCGGCATATCCACATACTCTATCTTTGAATTTCAGCCATGTAGCTTTTTCAATTCAATTTCTGAAAATTGTACATTTATCCCTGGAAATTACACATTTGACATCAGAAATATACTTATATTTTTTAATGATCATAAACACTGACTTAAGAATACTTAATAATCAATTAAATAAATATTTTTGAACAATTTTATTGGTTTGATATATTTTTGAACAATTTTATTGGTTTGATAATGGTTTGGAAGTAATCTGCTGTCTTTTTTCAGCCTTGTTGTCAAGCTTTAAATATTCCTGACATTTTTTTTACAGAATCAATATGGTCTTGATTTTAGAGCCAACATGTCTGTGTTATCCAGTGAAAATGGTACTTATTCTACAGAAATATTTACAAATGAAGCTGTTAAACTTATCATGAATCAAAATGAATCTGAGGTAGGCCCAAATATATTACTTACTTTTTTCATATATGTTTTTTTGTTTTTTTACAATTTTCTTTGATTATAAAAAGTGATGAGGTGAATGGTAAACAGAAAACCGATCGTCAATGAAGCTCTGTACGAAAACTTGAGTGCACAAACTATTCATCAGTTAGTCATCTCCCTTGGCACAGACTATTTGTTTTCAGTTTGGTGACTAATTTGAAAAGAAAATCTGTTTTCTTAGCATCCCTATATAACCCTTTTAAATAGATAATTTTTTGTCTGTTTAATAAATTTACTTTATATTCTCTTTTCATTCATTTTGTAAAGTTGTCTCCCTTGACACATCAAACCTTTATTTTATTATTTTAACTCTGCTGATGTTATATGTTTACAAACTTTTACCTTCTTAAAGCCATTGTTCCTGTATTTACCATTCCAAGCTGTACACAGTGGGAATTTAGATGAACATCCCTTACAAGCTCCCCAAGAATATATCGACAGATTTCCTAATATACAGAATATGAACAGGAGAACGTTCGCTGGTAGGTAGCCTGTTACTTAAAATAATGATTGTAGGTACATATAAATCAATTTGTTGCTTATGAATATTTGTTGATTTAGTAGAATTAATATTCCAATAGGTTACAAAATGAATACCAAAAAATTAATTTGAATAGCCTTAAAATACTACTCAAAATTGAATTTTTGTATGGGCACTGCAATTTAGTGAGAACTGTTTCTGATAACCATATAAGTTGGCTAGATGATGTATGTTGTTATTTTATTAGGAATGGTATCAGCTCTAGATGATGGTGTTGGTGCTGTAGTAGAAGCGTTGTCAACAAAGGGAATGTTAAATAATTCTATTATTGTGTTTACTACGGATAATGGTGGACCTTCAAATGGTTTTGATGGGAATGCTGCAAGTAACTTTCCCCTTAGGTAATATTCTCTTTAGGCTACAATTATTATCAGATCTTCTTGAAATGCGTGGTGGTTGTGTAACTTTACAAAAGGAAGAAGCTTACTGATTTCATTGATTTCTGAGATTAGCATCTAGCTGTCTTTTTATTATAAAACCTACAACAGCCTACAATGTTATCTTTTAAAAAAGGAAAATCTTAGAAATCAGTTATATTGTGATGTTTCCCACTTGGGTTTTGAACGAAATAGCTGCTGATGATTGTACCTTTCATTGCCCGATAACCTATGTAATTTCCTTGTTGAATTCTTCAGAAAATGTTCAATTAGCTTCAGTTTCAAAATGCTCTGAATTGTGACATGATTGTTAAGAACAGAATTTTTTTTTAATTCAGAGGATTAAAAGCAACTTTATGGGAAGGAGGAGTAAGAGGAGATGGTCTTATTTACAGTCCATTATTACAGAATTCTCAGTATGTATCGGAACGTATGATGCATGTTTGTGATTGGTTACCTACTTTATATCGAGCTGCTGGTGGTGACCCCACTATCATGAAAAATCTGGACGGATATGACATGTGGGATGTTCTCTCCAATAATCAACAGAATTCTCCTAGAAAAGAAATATTACATAATATAGATCCTATAAGAAAGCAAGCTGCTATTCGTATTGGAGATTATAAATTATTATCTGGTGAAGTGGGTGTGGCATATGCTGATTGGTATCCACCATATCAAGTGGATGAAGATTCGTACAATTTACATGTTGATAATTACAGGGGTCAGACTACGTACGAAAATATCAGACAGTCGACTTTTACAAATTCTGGACATTCTAAAGATGTGGTTGAAATGATTATTTCTGAAAACAGATTGAAGGCTGTTGCAGTAAATTGTGGACCTAAGCCAGCAAATGCTAGTACAAACTGCCGACCTTTGACCTCGCCATGTTTATATCACATTCCATCAGACCCATGTGAATATAATAATATCGCAGATTCAAATAAAGACATTGTTATCCAGTTACTACAACGATTACAAGAATTAAGTTATACCATGGTACCACCTGGCAACAAACCGGAAGATCCTAGAGGGGATCCAAAATATCATAATGGTATCTGGCAGCCTTGGATCAACCTCTAAATATTGTAATGGTAACTTGTGATCAAAGTTGAGATCAACCTCTAAATATCATAATTATATCTATCATCCAGGTACTAACCTCTAAATTCCACAGTAGTATCTGTCAACCTTGGATCAACCTCTTGTCTAATAGAAAGTAACTTTGTTAGTATTAGATTTCTTACGGACATTGTGTTATTGGTATAAAACATAATGTTATTGTTTTATGACATCATGTTATTTTTATATGTTATTGATCATGTTATTGTTTTATAGACATTGTGTTACTGTTATAATCATGACATCATGTTATTGTTATATGACATCATGTTATTGTTATACATCATGTTATTGTCATATGACATCATGTTATTGTTATTATTATGACATCATGTTATTGTTAGATGACATCATGTTTTATTATATATGGACACCTATAGACATTGTGATATATTTTGTTGGACATTTTGTTTTGTCTGTGATTTAATTGATAAAGTGCCTTAAATTATTTTGATAATTCCATGTTTAATGATAACTCTATTTTTATAATTCCATCTTGTTATGAAGATTTAACTGACAATGATTGATATTGGAGTAATCACTGTGATGTGACAGCTGATGTTTCTTAGTTTAATTCATTTTTTATTACATAATCATATGTTTTAAATATTTCTCTTTATTAACTTTAGCAATGCTTCCTTAATACTTTTTATTATTCCATAATCATAGCATATGTTTATTTTTCATTTTTGACTGCAGTAATGCTCCCTATCAGTATTTTATTGGGATCCTCCAATAAAATAATTTTGTTTGTTTCTTGGTTGATGAAGTTTTTATTTTTTTATTGTATACTTTAATTTTGACTAATTAATGTTCCCTATTTTATTCATATCATTAATTAAGTTTTGTCTCACAAATTTAACAATAAATATCCCCTACCCCCACCAGCCATTTTCATATATATAAAGGGCATGTATCTTATTTTTAGTGCAATAAATATAGAAATTGTTCTTATGTTTTTTTTTTAACTCAGTGATAATGTACGCCTATGAAAAAATCAGGGGTGGGTGCATGTTCGTTTGTTGTTGGGACTTTGGGACTTACTGTCCGCTTTCACCTAGGATGATATCAAACATTAAGTGCATGTTAAAAGTTGTTATAGACGTATGAGTAACTTGGCAGAAATCAAAAGGAAATTACCTCCCCTGTTCTCAAAATAGCAATACTTCCAGGATATTCCAATTGAAAGACAAACTTACAGATACATTGTGTATAATATAAATAAAGAGCTGGTAATTCTTGCTTTAACAATTCAAAAATAGACAATGAAAAAAGATTTTTTTCGAAAAATTTTGATCAAATTGATATATTGAAAATCTGTGTCAAATGGATATATATTGAAAATTGAGTCATTGAAAATTCCAGTCATTGAAAATTACATTATTCTGAGTAAAGTTATGAATGTTTGAAGTTTTGACAAGAAAAATACAGATCAAAACCGCCAACAGTTCATATTCTCGATTGCCAAGTACCATTGCCGTGATAAGAAACTATGGTCAGTCCCTTTCATCAGCATTCTCCGGACATATTAGTGTTTAATGCAGATATGGCAGACATTGTCTAATCCTCTTAATATCTTAACCAGCGATTGGACTGAAGAGTTGATTATGGAATTGTGAGGTAAATAAATGTCTAAATTCTAAATAGTAATTTATCTAAATTTTGATTTTATTAGTGATATTAAAATAAGACCATACTTTTGATTGGTTTTTTTTTTTTTTTTTACATTTACACAATAGTAATATCTAAGATCATCTTAATGAAACAAAAGAAGCCTATTGAATTTCAACAAATTGTATCAATCACAAGTAATGTCTTTTGTTTTAGGTTATAGAATCTTGTGAAGACTCTAATGTTTTATGAACCTAGTTTGTTTTAAAAAAAAAATAAAACCCAACCCATTATTATGGAATAACTGGGTCTTGTTAATTCTCCCATCACCTACAAAAGAATAAACATGCAACAGCCTCTAACTATGTTTTGTTGCCTGCCAACCTACCCTAGTTAGTTTTTTATTTTATAAGTGGGATGAAAATATTGGTAAATTGGTATGTGCAATGGGAATATTTGTAGGGGCAGTGGTCATCAAGAACATGTGAGTTTTTTTAGTATTTAACTGTAGTCTTAAAGAACATTTTGAATGAAGTTTCTCCATTAATATCTCCCTGAAATCTCCCTAGCTATAAGTGATATTAAGTTGTTTGCCCCAGATGCTTTTCAAAAATCTTTGATACCACTGAAGGTCACTTGTTATATACATGTTGTATAGATAAAATGTTATTAATAAAGATAACCAATCTGCAACCTTGATCTTCTGTTTTATCAGTGATCAATATAAAGTAAGAAGTAATTTATACAAGAAAGGTAATGTATGATTTTTGAACAGGCCCCCTTAAACTGTGTACCTAGTGCCAGTTTTTGGCTTTACTAATTTTTTCAAATAAAACCTCTTCATGTGATCCATAAGAGGCTCTTTTTAGGGGTGGATTGATCCTTGAATTGTGGGAGGGGGGTTGGATGGCCGAATGGTAAGCACGTGTGCACTGTATCATAAGGCCTGTCATTGAGTCAACTGGCGTAGTTTCGAATCCCCGGTTGTACATGAAAAGGAATAGGGTTGCCTGTCCAACAGGTGGGTTTCCTCCCACTGCTAAAGACCCCTATGCGTAAGCGAATTATTGAAATAATATTAAACCATATGTTAGTCCCGAAATTACCTAGTCTGTGTCGAGTGGACGTTTAACCCTCTCTCTCTGTCTGTCTGTCTCTCTCTCGAATTGTGGGTTTTATATACCTTAAATTCTAAAAAATTAATTTCAACAGATTCAAATTTTTCTAATATTTTGATTACAGATAGAAAGTTTATGAAAGATGTTGTCAGTTTTATATTTACTGGCTGTTCAAGGCTTTATATTTGTTCACTCAGCACAAAAACCAAACATTATATTAATTGTTGCTGATGATTTGGTAAGTTTATAGTTATTTCTGCTTGTCATTAACTTGTCCACTCAACTCAAACTAGGTCATTTCTGGACTTTATTTCATTAATTAGATTGTGTGCATGAAAATGCGTGGAATAGAAACCAGGGATACATCCAGAAATTTGAGCAGAGATGGGTCCGGGTTAGGGGATTACCCATGTTTCATAAAATCAGAAACTCTAATTAAGGTGCATACAAATAGGATTAGTGTAGAAATGAAATGAAATGAAATGGGGTGTAACGTCCTACTGTTCTGCTCCGATCTGGGCTAATGAAGACAGGGATTTGAGTGGAGTGAGGCCAAAATGATGGCAATGCTTCACATCTTTGTTTAACATTATTTTGATGAATGTAGGAGAAAACAAATATGCTCGGTGTGACCTGGAGAGGGTACACCTTAATACACCTGAATAATTATGTCAGAACTGATGTGTGTGTGTGTCAGGCCACAGTCAGCCAAATCAAGGATATTTTGGGCTAATTTGTGGGCCCTTGGCAACTGCATTGTCCACACCTCTTAAGACGGACACCTCTAACTAATCTTATAATGTTAATAGCTAAATATAAAATAGGTCTCTCATACATAGAATGTCCAAAGAGGTTTGAAATGGCTTTGATTTTATATATCTTTATTAGAAGAATCATAACTTTGTAGTCATACATTTTTAGTGATAAATGATGCCAGCTTTAATTGATATTATATTTTTCAGGGTTATAATGATGTAAGTTTTAATTGATATTATATTTTTCAGGGTTATAATGATGTAAGTTTTAATTGATATTATATTTTTCAGGGTTATGATGATGTAAGTTTTAATTGATATTATATTTTTCAGGGTTATAATGATGTCAGTTTTAATTGATATTATATTTTTCAGGGTTATGATGATGTAAGTTTTCATGGTTCTAATCAGATTCCTACACCAAATATAGATTCTCTAGCTAATAAAGGAATTTTATTAAATAATTATTATGTACAACCTATCTGTACACCTACTAGAAGTGCTCTAATGACAGGAAGACATCCTATACATACAGGTATTTAACATTCAATGTATACATACATTTTAAAATGATTCGAGCATTCGAGAATGAACCATTTCAGAGAACACCAATGTGCTTAGAAAGCGGAGGGCAAAGGCAATTTATGAAATGGATAATAGGACTTAGACCCAATATAAAAAAATTTTGGTGGTCAATTTAAATTTTAATTTTGGGCGATTTCCAATTTTTTTAGAAGCTAGAGAGCAAAATCGATTTATGTAATGAATTGTAGGACTTGACTCAAACATTATGATAAAAAATGCTTTGCTGATCAAATTAATTTTACTTGTGGGTAACTTTTCTTCGAACGGTGTTTGAGGCAGTTTAATCTATAAGATAAATTCTCCCCTTGCTTTGTTGAGTTCATAATCTACAATAATGAGTTGCCATTGTATTATGAATTAAGAGATGAATAATTTTGCTAAATGTCTTGACATCATGGGTTCAAATATTACACAACTGGATTCCTCTCACCTCTGTTTTCAACTTTCAGGAATGCAACATTCTGTAATTCATGGATCCGAACCATATGGTTTACCATTAACAGAAACTTTAATGCCACAATATTTGAATGAATTAGGATACAGTTCACATATAGTAGGAAAGGTAAATCATATTAAACTGTTTCAATAGAGCTGGGTTTTAATCAGGGTATTTGTTGAGATAAACTGGGATCAAGTTTTAGATTATTATTACCGTTTCACCAAACCTAATTTATGTTTTAATCTATTGGTTGGTGGATCGGTTTAAATTTAAGTTAATTTAATTTAATTTTTAGGAAATGGGGTCTCAATTTGAAAATTCAGATTTGTTTCTCATGGAATGACATGCGGTGTTCTGTGAAGGAACTTTTGTCTGGATAGCATCGCTACAGCCTATTCTTATTTTGATTTCCAACTGTCAGGGAATCTTAATGTGCTTAACCAGGACCAATGTTTTTGTACCATCTGAACAACTAGAAACTTTTTTGTCACAGCTGTTCTGTCCTACACCAGTGACACAGGAAAACCGGACTGGAAAATTCTGAGGAACTTTCTCCGCCAACACCAGGATTAAACTTGGAACCATACTCTCAGATGTTGATTATTGATAATTAGAAATACACTTTTTATAATATTTCATTTTAATTTCAGTGGCATCTTGGATTTTTTGCTAAAGAATACACACCACTTTATCGGGGATTTAAAAGTCATCTAGGTTACTGGTTGGGAAAAGAAGATTATTTTGATCATGTGTCAGAAGCTGCTATGGTAAAGGACAGATGATTCAGAAATATATACATACCCTCTCTAAGAAAGTTAGATATGCCCATATTTGATGAGTATCTATATTATTGTCACCTTTGTCCTTTGATCTGGTGTCCAGTCTCCACCCACAATTACTTATGGCCACTCTAAAGGTCAAGAGTTCTTTGCAGGGATTGTTGAATGAGTCTTATGGAAGATTCCTATTGCAAATAACAGTTATTCTCCCATTTACATTCAAAATTTAAGAATTTTTAAAACTTGGTAGCTTGAATGAAATATATCTTTCCATTTACCTTTAAACGGTTAAGTTTGCGACCGTCTTCATACTATGATTTGAGAGGTAGAACAGATGACTTTGCTAGTGGTGGATGAATTAGGAGAGAAAGAGAGAAATGGGGTTTAACGTCCACTCAACACAAACTAGGTCATTTCGGGACTAGCACATGGTTCAATTTTATTTCGATAATTCGCTTGCGCGTAGGGGTCTTTAGCAGTGGGAGGAAACTGGAGGACCCAGAGAAAACCCACGAGGCTGGACAGGCGACCCTACTCCTTGTCAATACAACCGGGGAATCGAAACCCCGCCAGTTAACTCAATGACAGACTGTAAGATACTGCCCGCACGTGCTAACCATTCGGCCATCCAACTGCCCGGATGAATTAGGAAGTTCAATTGTTCTAAATGTAGCTGCTAATTCTATAGCCTGTTAAAAATATTGAATTTAATTATCAGGTATTGATTAACTTTTATTTTTATTTTCCAGCATGAATCTGGTCTTGATTTTAGAGCCAACATGTCTGTGTTATCCAGTGAAAATGGTACTTATTCTACAGAATTATTCACAAATGAAGCTGTTAAACTTATAACTGAACATGACCAATCAGAGGTATAGTAAACAGTTTTTTCATTAGTAAAACAAGAAATTACTGCTGGATTAACCTTGAAGTTATTATATTAGTTAAAAAACAGGGCTGGATTAACCTTGGGGGGTGGGGGCCTAAAGTAAGAAAAAAAAGCATAGTGTCCAATCAGTGCCACGCAAACCCCCCCCCCCCCTCTTGAAAGAAACAGTTTTAAACAGGCTGCTAGACAAGACACTCTGAAAATAATGTTTGATCTTAATGATAAAAATGTGTGGCTTTTGATGACAAAGGTTTGGTTTTTGGGATGCACATGCAGGCTTATTTTTACATACATTTATAAGGTATATTTATATTTGAACACTACAGTCATCCTGCGGGTGCTAGGCTGAAAACATAAACAATACAAAAATACTCTTAATAAATCATTGCAGTATATTTTTGACAATGAAATTTGGAGTTATCTCCCTTGACAGCAATTTCTTTTTTTTTCAGTTCGTAAAGAATCTTAGTTTTACTGTTACCCTTTTTTTTTTTAGAAATGGGGTTTAACGCCCACTCGACACAAACTAGATCATTTCGGGAATAACATATGGTTCAATTTTATTTCAATAATTCGCTTGTGCATAGGGGTCTTTAGCAGTGGGAGGAAACCGGAAGACCTGGAGAAAACCCACGAGGTTGGACAGGTGACCCTGTGACGTACAACCGAGGAATCAAAACCATGGCAGTTGACTCAATGACAGACCTTATGATACAGCATGCAGGTGCTAACCATTCGGCCATCCAACACCCTTTACTGTTGCTAGAGCCCTGGCTGTTGTATTTGGGTCACATTGATAACTATTTATATTTGATTGTTTTGGATAACTATGAGTTATATTTGGTGTCATTTACTTCTACATGTTTGATTTATATCCTTTTGGACAATGTCAAAAATCGCTTTATCTTGCCTAATTTGTCAGTCAAGTAAGCAGTTACCTCCCTTGACACAGCAAATTTACTGATATACACTTTGTGTACTTTATTTTTAATATTTGGTTATGTAATTTATTGTAGTAGTATTTTTAATTGACGAATTCTAGTATTTTTTATAAAGATAATACTACAAACTGTTATCTTAATATATTGTATGTTTTACTTACAGCCGTTATTCCTGTATTTACCATTCCAAGCTGTACATGCTGGTAATGCAGACCATCCACTACAGGCTCCACAAAAATATATCGACAGATTTCCTAATATACAGAATATGAGTAGACGAATATTTGCTGGTGGGTGTGTTGAAGAGTTATTTTTATGTATGCCCACTTGTTAAAACCTTGTAATCACCATACATGTCAGAATTTCAAGTTCGCAGGACTACTCATTGACATAAACCATATTAAAATTCATAGTCACTCATCAGTTAATTGCAAAGATACTGTCCCTGCCATCAAAACTTTGCAATAGCTGCAGGTCAAAATTTTGCTGGGACTAGTCATAAGGATGAAACCCATGTAAAGACATATTAATTGCCCTTGTCATTGAAATCTAGTAAATGACTGTCAAAAGTTTTAAGTTATTTTCTAAAACTGTCTGGTAAAAGTATGGAAGCAAACTTGACATCCAGAATTGAGCATTAATTTCAAGCAGATTTATTGCCCTGAGGACAAATCTTTTTAAACTATCAAATCAAAAAAATTCTGTAACATTAATTTCTTATGCATTTTGCACAATTAAGTTTCTGTTCAAATTTGTACATGATTCTGACAATTTTGCTGCTTATAGGGAGCTTGACAAAGCTCTGGATAATATATGTTGTTGTTATTTTATTAGGAATGGTATCAACTCTAGATGATGTATATTGTTGTTATTTTATTAGGAATGGTATCAACTCTAGATGATGTTGTTATTAGGAATGGTATCAGCTCTAGATGATGTATGTTTTATTAGGAATGGTATCAGTCTAGATGATGTATGTTGTTGTTGTTATTTTATTAGGAATGGTATCAGCTCTAGATGATGGTGTTGGTGCTGTAGTAGAAGTGTTGTCAACAAAGGGAATGTTAAATAATTCTATTATCGTGTTTACTACTGATAATGGTGGACCAGCAGATGGTTATAATGGAAATGCTGCCAGTAACTTTCCTCTAAGGTAACAAAAATGAATGTATGCTCATTAATATTCATGAACTGCAAATTGTGTATCGGTTTCATGAGGATTTATTGTCCTTGTCAAAGCTTGTCAGGTGAGTGTTTTGGAATTGTTTGGTTTTGTCACAAGGAGAAATCCTGTCAAAATTGAGAATTGCACATAAATTTTATGTAGAGTGATTTATCTCACAAAGTTGGGGCGTTTGTCTATACTGGTTTCCTGGCAACGCTTTAACTTAATTAGAAGTATAATAGACAAATTATACATTTCTACATTGATCGAATTGGTTTGTTCCCAATGTCTTTGAGTCATTCAAGTGAGTGGTATTGATTCCCATCATATCTATATTATTTACTAGGTTCTGAACATTTCTTTTAACAGGGGAATAAAAGAAACTTTATGGGAAGGAGGAGTAAGAGGAGATGGTCTTATTTACAGTCCATTATTACAGAATTCTCAGTATGTTTCTGAACGTATGATGCATGTTTGTGATTGGTTACCTACTTTATATCGAGCAGCTGGTGGTGACCCCACTACCATGAAAAATCTGGACGGATATGACATGTGGGATGTTCTCTCCAATAATCAACAGAATTCTCCTAGAAAAGAAATTTTACATAATATAGATCCTATAAGAAAGCAAGCTGCTATTCGTATCAGAGATTATAAGTTGTTATCTGGTGAAGTGGGTGTGGCATATGCTGATTGGTATCCACCATATCAAGTGGACGAAGATTCATATAATTTACATGTTGATAATTACAAGGGACAAACAACCTACAAGAATAATGGACAGTTGAAAGATGTGATTGAAATGAGTATTTCTGAAAACAGATTGAAGGCTGTTGCAGTAAATTGTGGACCTAAACCAGCAAATGCTAGTACAAACTGTCGACCTTTGACCTCGCCATGTTTATTTCATATTCTATCTGACCCGTGTGAATATAATAATATCGCAGATTCAAATAAAGACATTGTTATCCAGTTACTACAACGATTACAAGAATTAAGTTATACCATGGTACCACCAGGTAACAAACCGGCAGATCCAAGAGGGGATCCAAAATATCATAATGGTGTCTGGTCACCTTGGATCAACCCTTAAATATCATAAATACCATAATGGTATCTGGTGATCCAAAATATCATAATGGTATCCTATTATCTTATAAAACTTCTAAATGAAATGATATCTGGTGATCTTGTAAAACTTCTATAAATGATAATGGTATCCATCTGCTCTCTGGGAAATTGATAAGGGTATCTAGTGATCTTGTAAAACCTCTAAATATAGTGGTCTTTGGTGATCCTAAATATCAATAACTAGGTACCAGCATTGTGGGGTCAAAGCCATGACTTGCATAGATAACAGGTATACAATTATTATTCAGTTTTTGCCCCCAACATTGTCTGAGAAAGTTCCTGTGGATTTTTTGGTGCAGGGCCCCCTTGTCTCCGATATAAACTTGCTTTCTTATAGGATCTTGTCTGCAGGATGGAGGGCCTAGTCATTCAAATTTAACAACAAAAAAAAACCGATGTTCTTTGTACACATTGACTGGCATGCATGTAAAAGACTTCCTTGTTAGCAAAATGTCCCTCATAGCACACTGTATGGTATATGCCTGTCTTCAGTAGCCCAGTCGGTGCAGTAGGATGTTAAACCCCACTTATTTCAGAGCATATATTTAAAAAAACATTCAAGATATTCTTTATGAATCTTTGTACACATATCACCTGTTTACTAATTTGTCAATTCTAAATTGACAAATTTTTGTGTTTCTATGGGAGCACATTTCATTTAGTTTTTGGTTTGCAATTATTTTTTGGAGTACATTCAAGATATCTTTATGAAAGTATGAAATTTTGTTTTCATTCATACATCCAGAACTTCAGTCTTTTTATCGTAGTAATTTTTGTTCAGCATAACTTGGTTGCCTGATACTATTTGAGGAGGCTGGATGATATTTAGTGATGCCCAATACTATTTGAGGAGGCCTTATGATTTTTAGGGATGCCCGATACTATTTGAGGAGGCCTGATGCTATTTGGGAAGGCCTGATGCTATTTGAGGAGGCCTGATATTTGGGCATGCCTAATACTTTTTAGGCCTCTCTGATACTATTTGGACATCTTTGATATAGACTACTGGTGGGTGGTGATTGCCAATAAAAGAGATTGTAATTGTCAAAACATGTCCATATGGATGATTGAAGCTTTTTGTTTTATTTCATTGATATAAATGAGATTAATGTTTTTTATCTAATAAATGTACCATGAATTCATTCATCATTTATAGCAAATAACATCAACTAAATTAGCTAATGTGTTAAATTATTAACCCTCTTAGGCTGATGGTAAATAATATTCATAAGTTCATCCACACAAAAGCTTGGCTATTTAATACTTGTAGTCCTAGTATAATTTGAGGGACAGGACTGGCTATTGAATGGTTTAACGTGTGCACTTTAGATCATATGGTCTGTGATTGAGTCAAGTTGTGTGGTTTTGATCATTAACTTATACGGGACGAGGAGTAAGGTTGTCTAAAACTGTGGGTTTTGTCCCACTGCTAAAGACCCCTATGAGCAAGTGAATTATTGAAATAAAATTGTACCATGTTAGACCCAAAATTACCCCATTTTTCTCCCTCTCTCTTGAAAACCTCGACTTATTAATCTACGGATACTAGAGGTTGAAATAACCAGTTTTCAATAAATTGACCATCCATAATCGTTGTATCATACAGCTTTTGATTAAACAATAATAACAGCTTCCACCAATCACAGGTGAAGAAACAAAACGATCAGGTTGGTATGTTCTAAACGGTAATCAAACAGACATACGAGGGCTACAATGTAAATATTGAATAACCTGAGTTTTGTGAGACTCATTTACATAATGGGGATCACGTGGCTAAGTGGGTAAGACGCTGGTTCGCTAGCCTGGAGGTCGGGTGTTCGATCCCTGCATTGGCCGAGAAAGTTCATCCAGATTTTCCAGCGTGGTTTCCCCTTGTCAGTGATGCAGGACGGAGGGCCTGCCAAGGACAGCTGTCTAGTTGTTCAGATGGGACGAAAAACCGAGGTCCCGTGTACACATTGGCGTGCACGTAAAAGATCCCTTGGCAGTTGGAATTCGATATAAGAGTAGGCCCTAGTGTCGCTGCACGGGGAAAATTTCCCTCATAGCACACTGGCATATGCCCGTCTTCATTAGCCCAGTTTAGGAGCAGAACAGTAGGACGTTAAACCCCATTTCATTTCATTTAAATAATAACTAAGTGTACTCTCCGAATAACAGAAAGAGAGATTAGGTGCATGTTTTAAAATCAAAATGGTGTGCTTTCTCATTATTTATATTTTACTAATTTGACCCTCAGAATAACAGAAAGAAGCTGCAGGATGCTTTCTTCATTAATCAAAATGGTGTGCATCCTCATCACTTATATTTTACTAATTTGACCCTCCAAATAACAGAGAGAGAAAATAGCGTGCATCCTCAACATTTATATTTTACTGATTTGAGCCTCAGATTAACAGAAAGAGATTGAGAGCATGTTTTAAGATTAATACATATTAGTCAATTTTAATGTTGAAAATAGCTCATGCCTTTCCCCGATGGTTACAAAGGGTTAATGTATGAAGCAATAGATACATAGCTTGCAGGTATAATTAATCTGTCAGTGTGTGTTTTTATTGTTAATGAGGGGTGTTTCTCTTCACATTCCATTACACTAATTAATGCATTCCATTTATAAATGCTAAATAGGCTAGTAGCATAAATTTAATGCCCCCAACATCCTGCGTTTCTGTACTGGCTGGCATACACCATAACGTGTGATATGAAGAAAAATTTGGCCAAGACAGCCACACTGTCAACTGTGAGGGTGAAAAAATGCCCGTTACTGAAACAGCAAATCATCACTACTCAAACAACACATCATCACTAATCAAACGCCACATACAGCACAAATAAAACGGCACATTAGCACTAATCAAACAGTACATTAGCACTAATCAAACAGTAAATTAGCACTAATAGAGAGAGAGAAATGGGGTTTAACGTCCACTCGACACAAACTATGCCATTTTGGGACTAACACATGGTTAAATTTTATTTCAATAATTCGCTTGCACGTATGGGTCTTTAGCAGTGGGAGGAAACCGGAATTAGCACTAATAGAACTGCACATTTGCACTAATAAAACAGTACATTAGCACTAATAAAACAGTACGTTAGCACTAATAAAACTGCACATTGTCACCAATAAAACAGTACATAGGCACTTATCAAACAGCACATTTCAAAATCAGAGTGACGTAACCAGCCAGTTCCTTTCATGATACCACAGAAAAAAAAAAGCAAAATCTCTTCATATAATTTAATAACAGAAATAATCAGAATCAACAAATGTAAATATATGTTTAAATATTCTAAAATACAAGTCATGTACCCGGTACAAAAAAAAATATTTAAATCCAACAATAAATGACCTGTTGTATTTAAATACAATTTAAAAATACATGTACATAAAATATACATAAAATCTCGAAAATATTGCCCGTTTGCATAGTTTTGGTAATGAAAATGGAAGTAGAATTCATGTAGTTGTAACAATTTAATCTGTTTAAAACACAGATTTTATTTTGTTTCATTTTTTATAGTTCAAAATTTCATTTTACTGGTCTTTACTACACTAGAACCTGGAAGAGTTGTTACATAACTCGCATTCTGGATCATGTCAGGGATTAGCCAATGAAACAGTCTGTTACAGCGAGTTTTTTACCCCATATATTCTCACGGGAAAGGAATTAACAGTTAGTTCAGGTTGGAAATCGTAATTTACTCCGGAAGGAGTCAGTTGGTGACTTGGTTGATTGCCCGTCAGTCCGCCCACCGAGGGTCAGGCTTCGCACTCCCAAGTGGGGCAGCACGCCCCCCCCCCTTTCTGAAAATCGTGGATCCGCCCCTTATATCGATCTGCTAAAGTTGATAATTTTGTTACAAGTGTAGCATATATTTTTAGTATAATGGCATTTAGCGATTAAACATAATATAACACAACACAGTTCTATGGATAATTTTGTTGACACTGTATTGTATTATAATATAAAAATATTTCCAAGTATGCTCAAAAAGAATTCCTTTGATTACCGTAAAAAAATAATCATACTGATGATATAACGGTAACTGCTAGTCACTGTAAATAAACAAACTATCGCACAAGCAGCTATTAAATAGTCTTTGATCCATGAACTTTCTTACACTGTACTGGCTTCACTTAAAGTCAAAGTATGAATAGTAGCTATTATTATGGCATGTGTATTTATTTGTTTATTTTCAGTGACTGACAGTTACCCTTGTAATGTTAAATCCAACATGTTATGGTTAATTAAAGGTTGAATGATTTTAATATATAAAAAGTCTTCAAAGTCTAGAGTTCCCCTTAGATTTGAATCAATCTGATTAAAATACAGATCTATATTTCATTTCGTTTTTTTATACTTTCGATGGCCTACACTACATGAAGATGTGACCAGTTGTTTTGGGAGGTCGCGCTGAGTGGCTTTTGACTCTATGACGTCAAACATTTGATCAACCAATCAGCATTGATGTTTCTAGTGCATTACCCACAGTTCCATGCACCTCATGCTAAAAGCTCGCTGTAACATTGGCTAATCCCTCACATCATTCAGAACACGTCAATGATAACAGCTCTTCCTATAATTTTCAACTATAAAAAATGAAACGAAATAGGATCTGTGTTTTAATCAGATTGAGATTTGAATATAACATTAACATTTAAAAATGTTAGCCTGGTCAATTATTTAGGTACAAGACCTGATGTATACGTCTGTCCTGCAAATAAATTAAAGCTCAATTTAATACAATAACAGCACCATTACCATTTACATCCATGGACCCCAGAATCCACCGTGGTTATAAGGATTTGCTCCCTTTGGATCAGCAGGCTTGTTTCCTGGAGGAACCATTGTCTTTTTGTATTCTTCAATCTTCTGATATAACTCGGCAACTATTTCAGGATGCTGGTATGCGATGTTTGTAAATTCGCATGGATCGGTTGGGATGTGAAATAAACATGGTTTGGATTTTGGTAAACAATTGGTATCAGCATCAACTGGTCGTTTACCACAATTCACCGTTATTGGTTTCGACATTTTCTCTGAACTCATTCTATATGTAAACTTATCACCCTTGAAATTATTTAGTTGCTTATCATTAAATCTTAGTTTGTGATGATTTTTCTTCAAATCTGGTGGCGGATACCAACTGTCGTCCCTGCCATTTGAAATATCCCCCATTACTAATTTATACTCTCCAACTCGAATAGCGGCAAAGTTTTGAATAGGATCTATATTGTGTAAGACAGAGGTTCTGATTGGTTGACCATCATCTGATAACATATTCCAGACATTGTAGCCATCTTGATTGGGTAAATCGCTGGCGTTACCCCCTGCTAGGCTGTAAATGGTTGGTAACCAATCAGTTATATGCATTAAGTTATCCATGATGTAACCAGTTTTTCTTAGTAAAGGACTGTGAACAAAGCCGTTACCACGTACACCACCTTCCCACATGGTATTCTTACAGCCTCTGTTAAAAAAAACCCGTTTCATTATTAATATCATCCTAAAATAATGTTTATTTAATTGCTGCCAAAATTTAAACCAGAGTCGTTAAATGTTACACATTCAATTTTAGGCTAGCCTTGACCGTCATTACTACCGTACGTCTCGATTATCCATTTTTATCTTAAATCATTCATCACAAAATGTATTCAAATCCACTAAATATCGCAGGATAACAATGGCTTCTAACATTGATTATAGTCTTGATTAGTTAATTAATGTATAATTAATAATTTAGATAACATTTCAGGCCTAAAGAAAGACCTGCAATAGGCAGATTTAGCTCTTGCATAATGTATGTTTTTAGAGTTTTTATTCGAGAAAAAGTGGGAGGTTTTCTGAAACGGTAAACTCTGAAAAACCAAAATATATAATATTTCTAAACAGTGCAAAGATTGGATATGATCTGAGTTGTATGGATTAATACCAAAATGACCACTTTTAATACTTTTAGCTGTAGTTCAATGAGAACACCAACACCACACTACTACACCCTTTTTGAAATAAGTCATTCATTAACTCAATCTGCCTATTACAGGTCTTTCTATTGGCCTCAAATGTTATCTAAATTATTAATTAGATATTAATTAACTTATCCAGACCATAATCAGCATTTGATGCCATTGTTATGATGCAATATTTAGTAGATTTGAATTAACTTATTAATTAGATATTTATTTACAGTTAGAATAAGACTTCAGCCCATAATCAACTCTCTAGAGCACCGGATGGTTGTGATTTTTAATGGATTGAAACACGATTGCCATTTAATAATTTAATTTAAAAATAGATGATCAAGACTTTGTTTATTATCGTAAACGATGGTAGTAATGATAACTTTGCTCCAAATAAAGTAAACTGACTGAAATTTTCAATACATTCCACTTTCATTATCTATTTTTAAACTACATAATGTATTTTTAATATATACTTGTCAGAAGTTAAAAATGAAATTGGAGAGAATATCCATCCTGTCTTTGATAAGAATACTTTTAACACAAACCTTAATGGCCAATTACAAGCTGCATTTCTATCATATCCATTGGTAGGTCCTCCATTGTCTGTGGTAAATACTAGAACAGTATTATTCATCATACCAGTCTTCTCTAATACAGATCGTAGATTACCAATACCATCATCCAATGCTGATACCATACCTGTATACCAATGTTTATACATGACAAATACGTCCAGTTAAAATATCAACCATTTTTAGTTCTTCATTCTGATATACATCAAATCATAAGTTAGTTGTCTTCTCTTGATTAAATGAAATGAAATGGGGTTTAACGTCCCACTATTCTGCTCCGACTGAGCTAATGACGACGGGCATACACCATATAGTGTGCTATGAGGGTAATTTTGCCCGAACAACGGTGCTATGGCCTACTCTTATGTCAAACTGCCAAGCCAATGTGTACACTGTATCTTGGTTTTTCATCCCATCCAAACAAACAACAGATGTCATTGCTTCTCCTTTGTCGGACGATATATCAATCCAATAAGAGTGATTATAAACTTAATCTGATTAACCCGTGATTTGTCCATTGTCTCACGTTTTAATCTCCTTTGTGTCGGACAATAACACGTAGAAATTAGTCATATATATATGTCACATATCCTGATAGTATATAACACCTCAAATCAACATACATTGTATCCGATAACTTGTCTGTGATATATTTTCGGTGGAAGCCGAAGTTAAATAAAGATATTTCACACACACGCATATAAATATAGTTCGGTAATTAAAATGAAAGTACAAATCTCGCGATTTATGATCATATTTTGAATGGGGTTTATGTCTTTAATTAAATAAATAAATAAATAAACACGCTAAGAAATGTTGACGAATATTTCGATTGGAATGACATAAGTAGTTAATTGTTTTAGACGATAGCGCGTGCTACAGTCGAATGCAATTATTTAGCAGTTGGTGTCACACGCTCGTTGTATTAGAGCATTGTTAACTACGGTTTACGGCCAAATAAATTTCAGGATGTCATTTTTTTACCTTCCGTATAAAATCGAAACGCAGTATCAGACGAATGTCGGACTTTGCTTAAAAATGTACCGACATATGACCCGAAAAATACGGTAATTTTGGGGCAGTTTGAAACAGATCGGCAGCAGTCGGCACGCTGCCATTCTATAGTATTGATGTCATGTAATTTTGTAGGAATATTATTGACATAAATTTGAATACCGTACGGGTTTTAAACATGAAATATAACGAGGTCCACCAATTTTTTTTACATATGAATTTGAATATATTTTGTTGACACGTGATTCTTTATTGTGTTTTGAAAACGTCTGCTTAAATTACGATAAGAGTTATGCCCCTTTATTTTCGGGAAAAATGTCCGACAATAATTTTTTTGAAATCCCATCACTGCGTTGTACCTTGCCAGACTCTCGGTCCTGCACCACTAACAAAAAGGAACCATGCCGGAAAATGCTGATGAACTTTCTCGACCAATGCAGGGATCGAACACGGGACCTCCAAGTTAGCAAGCCAATGTCGTACCCACTGACTCACCATGGTTCCCCTGCTCTTGATTAAGCATTTTCAGATCTTATAATGTATATAAATAATTAACCATTAGTTTTAAAAATATATATAGAATTATTGTCCGATTTAGACGTAGCAAGACCATAGCTTATTCCACTTATGAAGCCCCTCTCAATATCCCACATTCACGAATACAGGTTGGTGACATTGTGTTTTAAACACAATCGAGCAAAACCGTGGATGATGACGGATGCTTATAAGAATACAGTGCATGCAACAAAGGTTTATGGCAGTATCAAAAATATTATACACTTTGGCTGTAGGCACCCTAGATCTTAGTGTTCCGCCTAAAATGGTTGATCTAGGAATAAAAATGTTGGTCAACTCGCTTAGTGTCTGTTCTCAAGAGGCACAAGTTGTCGACAGACAGCCTAACTTTAGTAAGGGGTAAACCTCAGAAACAAAGGCCACTAGCGAATCAACTATCTGATAAAGCAGTATTTATGTACAAATATCATCACTTTTAACTTACCACCAAATATTTTCCGTGGTATATTTGTAATATTAGGAAATCTATCAATATATTTCTGTGGTGCTTGTAGTGGATCAGCCTGAGAATTGCCTGCATGCACAGCTTGATATGCTAAATATAGAAACAATGGCTGTAAAAAAAATAAAACAAAAGTAGATTAAATAAAGGATCATTTCAACATTTACACAAGTTTTTAATTTCTTAAATCCAGATTTAATAATATCATTGTATCCTCTCACTGTTATAAATCAAATCAAAATTTTTATTGAGAAAATAAATTAAAGGGGTTACAATTAATTCATCTTGGAGGAGAGAGAAAAATGGGGTTTAATGTCCACTGGACACAAACTAGGTCATTTTCTGACTAACATATTGTCAATATTATTTCAATAATTGACTTGCGTGAAGAGGTCTATAGCAGTGGAAGGAAACCAGAGGACCCGGAGGAAATCGGGATCCAAACCACGCCATCTGACTCAATGACAGACTGTAATCTAAAACACACGTGTTAGTTTTACCACTCTGTCATCCCCACCTCTCCATTCTGGAGTAGAATTGAAAAACGTAATTTACAAATATGAATTAGTATTTTTAACTGTTTATTCCTAGTGGTCAAAGACATATTACAAATTGCTTACTGCTGTTGTTTGAAACCCTACCCCCGAAAGGAAATGGGTAGTTCACCAGACCAAGCTACATTACTTGAATTTAAAATACAGATGTGACGTCATCCTTTGATGTTGGCGTACTATTATTTCCAATAATGTACAGGCAACTTGCCAATCGTACATTATCTATACTAGATGAAATATTGGACTCATGTGACGTATTTCATTGAAAAGCACGTGCAGGATAGTGTCTGTATTTTAAGTTGTTTAATGGTCTCAAGCTAAAGACATTGCGTAATATATTGAAACAACACTCGGCTTACCCCTCGTGAATTATCAATATATAACTTATTGTCTCGCTCTCGACCATTAAACCATACATAAAATGAATGAACAAGTGCTATGTGAGCAAACCAACTTTTGTCCTAGAGCTGTCAACTTGGATCATAAAATTTCACAAACTCAGTTTTATACCAGGAGGTTATTAAGCAATCTGACATATTTAGTAATTGGAGGAGAATTTTAAGAAATTCATTGCCAAATATTGACTCTCCATTAATTTTGGCTAATGTACTTGCCTTGCTCTGATTATGAGTTGAAATGATATTTTCAGCTAGTGAAGTATATAGTTCCGTAGAATAATCCCCATCCATAGTAGCAACCGGATCTGTATTATTACGGAAATCTTTACCCCAGTACGGACTCTAAATAAAAATAAAAAAAACTAATAAAAACATATTATATACAGTGAAAATAACCCAATTCAACAATGTCTAAACAGTGTACACCATACAGTGTCCTATTAGGCACTACAGCCTACTTTATCTTATTTCGAATTACAACTGCAAAGGGTTCTTTTATGGGTTTGCCATTGGGTACACAGAACTACAGTTTTTTGGCCCATCCGATGACTGGACACTGACCTTGTCAAACCTTAAATCCTCCATCACTGACAAGGGGAAGTCTTGAGGAACTTTCTCGGCCTACACCGGAAGTGAAACCTGAGGCTTCAGGATCAACGAGCCAGCGCCTTACTCATGTAAATGATCTAATATTCGAGGGCCAATACTTAAAATAGCAAAGTCTCGAACTCAATATCACCTATAGTCTTCGACATTGAAAACACAAATTATTGGTCAATATAAATCAACATTGATGTTGTGATCTTACAGGGAAAATATGGGCTTCTGATATCCAATATTTAAAACAAAATAAACATTTTACCATTGGTACACGAATTGTGTACCATAATGCGTTTCAGCGTCATTTGTAACAAGGGACTCGAAGAACGAGGCTAGACATATTCCACAAGTCATGTCTAACGGTGATGCCATATTCTTATCTGGAGAGCATGCGTCATAAACATTATCGGTGTAGACTGGATTAACCAAACGCTAGAGCTTTCCATTTGATTGAGACTTTTGGCGTATTTTGCCAAACATAACTGATTTGAAATTAGGAGTAAAAACGGAAACGATGGAATGTAAATCAGTTTATATACATTCATATTACATCATTATATGTGTTGCGACCCATTTGTGTCAAATTCTAGATCCCAAATATTAGAGATTTAGCTCCTTTTAGAGTTCTCAACAAACCAATATCAGACTGAACAATAGACTACTGACTGTAAATATATCTGAAGCACACATTAAAAATTGAGTTTAAGGGAGACTGAAAATATGGTAAGCAATTGATATTCTCAAAATCAATTATCTTAAACATTTTATTTTTTTTAAAAAAAAATATTACTCACACCCTCTGCTACATGATCAAAATAATCTTCATGACCAGTTAAATATCCAAAAAAAGAATCAAAACCACGTAATGTAGGCAAATATTCTTTCTTGAAATGTCCCAAATGCCACTGGAAAACAAAAAGAAGATATTGCGGTGAGTACTTGTGGAATCACATAGATTAAGAAAGTCAATTAAGGCAGTAGTTAATCAATTAATGTAGGTGTTTAACACCATGAAATGTTGATTACTTAATTACTTAATGAACGACAATCAAGATTAATAATATTTATTCTCTCAGCAAAGTAAATATTTTTTGGATTTTTGAATAATGTTTTACGATATCTTGATGTCCAATTGGGCATATTCCTGGTCTGATGTTTACCAGTTTACGAAGGACATGTCTGGCATATATGGCGAAACAGCAACTATTTTTTTTTTTTTTTTATATAAAAGCAATATTTTTATTCAGATTTGTATCTGAATAGGGATCAGGGAACAGGCATACATGTAGCATATATCAAACCTCTCTCCCTGTCAGATATATGTACATGTATTTACATAAAGAAACAAACAATGTACACCTGGAAATATAATTACAGTGAGTATGTTATAGTTGTTCCTGGAACCGTCTGGTGATTTCGAAAAGCGAGTGGACAGTTTTAAAAAATAATGAGTGAGTTTTCCGTGTCGTCAATTCCGTGCAATAAGACAGTAGTGTTTCGATGGATAGTAGGTAAATTATTCTATAGAGGAGTTGAGTGCTTGAGTGGTTTAACATCGGTGCTTTAGACCATGAGGTCATCTGGACTGTTTTTTTAAAATGTACATAAAAATAAACATTGGCCGTAAGATGACAGGTAATTTTATGGTTTTGGTTAGTTTTAAAGACTTACCTTTCCAACGGCATGAGTATCATAGCCTAAAGCTTTTAAATATTGTGGCATTATGGTAAAATTTAATGGCAACCCATAAGGTGTGTCATTTCCAATAACTTCATGTTGCATTCCTGTAAAATATGTTATTCATTTTGATTATTTGAAAGCTCTCACCTTTCCAACAGCATGAGTATCATAACCCAATGACTTTAAATATTGTGGCATTATTGTAAAATTTAATGGCAGCCCGTATGGTGTATCATTTCTAATAACTTTATGCTGCATACCTGTAACATAGTAATGTCATATATATTTGAACATAGATAGTCAGAAGTGTCTGACTCTTTCCTATCTGATTAGGGGGGTTGGATGGCTGAATGATTAGCGTGCGCGCACTGTATCATAAAGTCTGTCATTGAGTCAACTGGCGTGGTTTCGAATCCCCGGTTGTACGTGACAAGGAGTAGGGTCGCCTGTCCAACCTCGTGGGTTTTCTCCGGGTCCTCCGGTTTCCTCCCACTGCTAAAGACCCCTATGGGCAAGCGAATTATTGAAATAAAATTAAACCATATGTTAGTCCCGAAATGACCTAGTTTGTGTCGAGAGGACGTTAAACCCCATTTCTCTCTCTCCCTATCTGATTAAAATACAGATCTTTATATTTCGTTTCATTTTTTTATACTTTCGATGGCCTACACTACATGAAGATCTGATAAGTTGTACTCGAGGGTCGTGTCAGGAGTTGTACAGCGGCTTTTGACCCTATGACGTCAGACATTGATTAATCAATCAGCGTTGATGTTTCTAGTGGTTTACCCACAATTCGGTGCATGGCGTGTCAAGAACTCGCCGTAACAGACTGTTTCATTGGCTTATCCCCCACTTTAACCAAAACTTTGGTAATAAAACAACTCTTCCACATCCTAGTGTAGTAAAGACAAGTAAAACGAAAAATTTTCAACTATAAAAAAACGAAATGAAATAGGATCTGTGTTTTAATCAGACTGGACTCTTTCCGATGTCGTTCTGTTTGTAATTAAATTGTGATGGTTGAAATCCAGGAGCGATTCAGACAGGTAGATCAGTTTTTCAGAACTGTGATAGATTTGAGGTTTTTTTTAGAAAGGTAGGTTATTATGCTTACTAGTAACGTAAACATTATACAATAACATGCATAAAGCAGTTTTGAAAAGTAACAAAAAACAGGGCAGTATCCAGTCCTCAGAAAGATTAAATTCATTACATAACAGTACAAATTACTGAACAACATACCTTAAAATATTAAATTAAAATAAAGATACATGTGTTATAAACTCAAATAATAAGTGGTATCAGGTGTTCTAAAAGAGTAATAGTCCCCTCCATACCCACGGGGGGTTGGATGGCTGAATGGTTAGCATGCGCGCGCTGTATCATAAAGACTGTCATTGAGTCGACTGGCGTGGTTTCGAATCCCCATTTATACGTGACAATGAGTAGGGTCGTCTGTCCAACCTCGTGGGTTTCTCCGGGTCCTCCGGTTTCCTCCCACTGCTAAAGACCCCTATGCGCAAGTGAATTATTGAAATAAAATTCAACCATATGTTAGTCCCGAAATGACCTTGTTTGTGTCGAGTGGATGTTAAACCCCATTTCTCTCTCTCTCTCCCTCCACGCCCACCTCCAGTCACTAGAAAGGGTAAATTCATTATATAACATTACAAATAACAATTCAGATCAGCAGTGTCAGTAAATTACAAAAAAAAAAATACAAATAACAATTCAGATCAGCATTGTCCATAAATTACAAAAAAAAACTAATAACAATACCTGTATGTATAGGATGTCGGCCAGTCATTATAGCACTTCTAGTTGGTGAACATATCGGTGAAACATAATAGTTATTTAATATAACTCCTTCATAAGCTAGTTTATCTATGTTTGGTGTTAACATATCGGATCCATGGAACCCTACATCGTGCCATCCCTAAAATAAATCATATGATCATTCATCCATTTATAGAGTTAATAATTGTAGTCATTTGGTGATTGTTGCTAATCTATTAAAATTATATCAGGATTTGACATGACACTGCAATACGTACAGTACAGCATTATTAAAATCAAATTAACCATGTGTCCCAACAGGTTAAGTTAGTATATAAAAGCACATTGTAATATGTATAAATGACCAGCCGAGCCGAACGAAACAATTTTCTTAAAACAGTAGTTAATTTTTCATTTTCCAAATGACTGGTCCATGCCCGGAGCCATTTTGAATCGTACTTAAAATCCCTCAAACCCGAAAAAAAAACCCCATTGTTCTGACAGTTCAGATAAGTATTACGAGAGCCCTAAATAAGGAGAAATCAATGTATATGCCCCTGCCCCCTCCCTGTACAGTTGTTTCAAAAAATTTCTGCTTACACATGAACATTTTAAAAAGCACTTGTCTAAAAACGACTCGGTAGCAGTGCAGCAAGGGTTATGTGGAAGGCATTATAAGAATTCTTGAAAAATTATGACGTCAAATGAAAAATAAAATTTACAAACCATATCATCAGCAATAACAAAAATAATGTTTGGCTGATTTGCTGACAGGATTTCATGTACATATAGCAACATCAACAATGTAATTAACCATAATGAATGTTGTTCCATATTCAATGACTTCTGTTAACTGGTGGTTTCAACCTTTAAAACTGAAAAAAAAGGTATGAAAATAGTGAGATTTCCCTACCAAATCTGGTGCCATGCTAAACGCCATCTAAATTTCCCACACAATCTTGTAGGCGAAAAATTAGCTATGCAACATTTTAATACTCCACCAGATCTACATGTAGCTCGAACTTACATATCCCTAATTCACTTTCAAAGTGGCTCTAGAAAGACATCTTCCAAATTTCTTGATTGTCTTAATAACAAAATGAGATCAAATAAAATTAGTGAAACTAACTGACTTGCATCCAATGAGCTGTTCTTTCCTGTTGTGTTGTTGTTTTGTTATGATTAAAAATAAATCAACAGAGAAGCAGAAATATATATTGATTTATAAAGTCTGTGTCAAGAAATCATAATACCAAAAGAGCCATATTAAATACAAGGGAAATAGTTTGATATTTATCCAGTTAACGCACAGTTTCAATCTGTTTCACAGAGATCTTCTAATATCTCTGTAACAGATGACTGTTTCGACACGTGATGTCACATCACGCGGCGTCAATCATTGGCTCAATAGCACGTGCAAAAATTGTTTACATAAGACGCTACTGATTCGGGCTAAATGGTGAATTTTACTTATTTTAATACACATTTACACTAAATAGGAAAGGTTTTTTTACCTACAAATAATTCAAACGTCTTTATTTATTTTTCTAATAAATGAAAAAAATGTTTTAGAATTTAATTTGACGGAAGAAAAATGTTAATATTTGGGACTCATTAAGTCGGATCGATGTCATCCTTATCAGTGATTGTAGCGGCCTAGCGAAAATTTACTGTTTATCAGTGTGACACAGTTTGTGTAAAAACAAGCCTTCAAAATGATGACAACTTCATAGTTGATGTAATGAGTATTGAATTGAGTGAGTGGCTGCATGAGTGCATGAGAAGAAACCAACGGAAAAAATAACAAAGTTTCTGAATCAGTCAAGAGAATAATCTTCTTGAAACTACCACAACATTCTATAATATAATCCATTTAAATACTTTCTTCGATCACGCTACGTTTGTTTCTATAAATAATGCTTCAAAATGTACCTGGTGCTATAATTTAAAACTCGTTATCTACAGCGCCATATTGTCATCATGTGATTCATGTCATGTGACCTGTACTAAAAATAGAAGTGCCTTGGACAAGATTAGTAGTGATAGTGCGCGTTCAGGTGGAAATAAGCAAGTTTTAATGCGAGAATTTCATATTTTTAAGTTATATTTTTAAAATGTATTAAAATAAAGCCTTACAATAGATGGTATCTATAAACAGTCCTACCTTGTTAAAGAATAATCCTATTAATCCTATAATTCACTATTGCCAGTTGTGCAATTGGCAAAAATATCATTTTCAACTACAAATTCAAACGTTTGAAGATAGCTATTCCATGGGGGGGGGGGGGGATAGAAAAACAAGGGAGGTACATGTAATTGTGTTATTATTTCCGGTGTGAATGATGTTATAAGTGTGATACTGATACCTATGATCGCGTATAATAGTGACTTGACAATCTATATGCAAAAGACATAGAAATAATTATGTTTTGACTTTTTTTTAGAAAATATGAAATTCTCGCTTTAAAACGTAGCTGTCGATAAGCAAAACCAATTTAATGGATAGAAGTAATAGTATTGAAAGTGCAAAAAAAAAAAAAAAATATGTCCGTAAAATGTAACTTTAAAAATATATTCCCACGAAAGTATTTAAACGGCAATATTATTAAATATTAAAAGTACTGCATTGGTCAAATTGGTGTATGGAAAGTAAACACTCAATCTTACTAGACAAATACTCGATTACCTGAAAAAAAAAAGACATGGGTCGCCCAAAGGGCACAAATGTATATATGGCCATGGCCACTAATGGACATCATGTCTCCCCGAGTGACGTTAGGAGTGCTTTTTACGTGTTGATCACTGGTGTAAGCCTATTCTAAACAGTGTTCGCGCAGAAGAACACGAAAACACTTTCGCGAGTCTGGAACCCACAAACGACGAAAATTATAATCCGATCTGTATGAAATTGTCTTGTAAATGCCTCCATTACCTCCAAAAGAATAAATATGCGACAACCCTTGTCGACCGCCCGAACGATTTAACTGTTGTGTGCGTATGTTATCGTTGCTTGGCAACCCATCTTACTAGATGTTATAGGCCTACTGGCCACATACTACATGCAATTTTCGAACGGTATTAAACTTTTAAATTAAAAAAATGCACTCAAGATGCTGTTTTCTCGGCAGTTGTCGATGCGTCGACCATGTTTTCATGTTTAAAACATATAATCTTTTCTGATTCTTTGTCCTGTTTACAAGCAATAAATAATAAACAGCTTGAACACCCATTAGTAGAAGACATTTATCGTCTGCTTTCATCATACAGTTGAACAGCAAAGACATTGTATCAGTCATACTGATATAAAAGGGAATGATCAAGTGGGGTTGGCTGCCAAGTCTACTTTAGATCTTCCCATATCTCAGTTTCTATTACCATATCACGATTTTAAATCATCGATTAATTCTTGTATATTTGGCCGCTGGCTTGGGATCTTGCAGGCACAAATAAACTTCATCATAAAGCCTCTTAGGAGACTGACACAACTCCTACTGACCCAACTGGAGGGATGGGGTTGTTTTGTGTCGCTCTCGCATTGGTCATACATTTTTAACTCACATTTTCATCTTGAAGCTAGAGCCTCAACCAGAATGTGAACACTGCCATGTTCCTTTGACAATTGAGTACATTTTGATTGAGTGCAAGCATCTTGAAGATATTAGGTCCAAATACTTTCGTTGCGTCACTACAGAATTTATTTGCCCAACCGGGTCTGTATTGTAAAGCGTTAGACAAAATTTTATAGAAAACTTTAATTTGTATATAATTGTTTTGTCATGTTTATATACTATTCAAAAAAAGTAGGGGATATTTGATTTTGGGGGCATAATACTAAAATATGCAAATGACTACGAAAAAAGTCACTATAGAACCTAACAGAAGAAACATTTCCAGTTACATGTGACGCCCAAACGCACCAATAGCTACTGCATGGAATGCAGGTGATGCTTGGGATCATCATGGGGGTCCAACCCAAGATTTGCACGACTCTGACTTTGAATGTTACAGTCATTGTGGCATTGAATTCCAGGGTGGAAACATCAGTTTAATTGTTTTAGTGACCAGAAAACAAATTTTGATATGCGTCGGCTTACCCAAAATGAAAGGTTACGTGCCCTTGGCATGCTACAGATCGGCACAACACAGGCGGTTGTGGCGCGGACGATGAATGTTTCTCAGTCTGTCATAAGCAGGCTATGGTCCAGATACCGTGATACACAATCTGTACAGGACAGACCACGCTCAGGTCGACCAAGGGCGACAACTCAAGCCCAGCATCGATTTATCCGTACCTTGGCCTTGAGAAATCGTGTCATCACAGCAAATCAGATCAGCGCTCGTCTTCAAACAGACACTGGTGTGAGAGTGAGTGGCCAGACGATTCGGAATCGACTGCATAGGGGTCACCTTCGCGCCCGACGTCCTCGCGTGATCCCTTGTTTGAGAGATCATCACATTCAGGCAAGACGTCGTTGGTGTAGGGATCGTCAACACTGGGATAATCGACGCTGGAGCAATGTGATGTTTTCAGATGAGTCAAGGTTCACTGTTGATTTTTTGGACAGACGTAGGAGGGTGTGGCGTCGTCGAAACGAGCGCTTCCAAGACGTTAACGTCATCAGACATGATCGATTTGGGGGTGGTTCTGTTATGGTGTGGGGAGGCATCACTGTTGCTGGAAGAACGGCTTTACATGTTGTTGCAGGGCGTGTTACAGGCCAGTACTACCGGGACAACATCTTGGCAGTCCATGTTGTGCCGTTCGCACGACGTCATGGCCGCCGTTTCATCTTCCAGGATGACAACGCAAGATGTCACAGGGCCAGGATCGTTACAGGTTACCTCCAACAACAGAACATCACCACATTACCTTGGCCAGCATGTCTGGGACATGCTTGGACAGAGGTTACGTCAACGTCAACAACGTCCTGCCAATGTCCAAGAACTTGCTGCTGCGTTGCAACAGGAATGGGACAATCTGGACCAAAATGACCTTAGACATCTCATTAGGAGTATGCCACGTCGGATCAATGCTTGTTTGGCAAACAGAGGAGGATTTACCCGTTACTGACTTGGTTGTGATGCTGTGGTAACTTTGCTGTTTGACCCCGGGTATCATTTTACCCTTATAATGGTCAGTCTGTGCCTTACTTAGTCTAACGATCATTTGGAATAAATCGATGAATGTGAACTTCATTTCATTTTGTCATTTGTTTCTTCGTCAGTTTCATTAGGTGACTTTAATAACACTTAAAAATCAAATATCCCCTACTTTTTTTGAATAGTATATTTTAAATATTATATACATGAACTGTGTTATTTAATTTTAATTGTACTAACTGTGATACCTGTTTTTATTTATGTATAGGGGGGTTGGATGGCTGAATGGTTAGCTGTACATAAAGTCTGTCATTGGGTCGACTGGCGTGGTTTCGAATCCCTGGTTGTGCGTGACAAGGAGTAGGGTCGCCTGTCCAACCTCGTGGGTTTTCTCCGGGTCCTCCGGTTTCCTTCCACTGCTAAAGACCCCTACGCGCAAGCGAATTATTGAAATAAAATTAAACCATATGTTAGTCCCGAAATGACCTAGTTTGTGTCGAGTGGACGTTAAACCCCATTTCTCTCTCTCTCTCTTTATTTATATATATTAATACACTATTGTGATTTCATATAATTTGTCTCTAGATGTCACGATATGTTTGACGCAATATAGCCCGATTGGAGCTGACTTGCCAATGAACCATATTTCATTCATTCATTCAATCAGCCATGTTTGTTCTCGACTCACACCAGCTAACGAGGAAGAGTGGGATTTTAGAACGGAAACGTGTTCGCGAACGCATTCCCGCTGCTCGATACCGACAAGAACACATTCTCCATCCTATGGTTCTGCACCACCATTTTCAATAGAAGGCTTGATCTCGCTTTAACTACGTACATCTTATCAGTCGTTGCTTCAGGAACATGCTACACCACTAACAACAATCTGTTTCACAGAGAATTACGAGTCTATTGCCTAGCAAATATTCACTGCGGATCAGTGAGCACTAACAAGTGGGGCCCACGCCGGAAAATCCGAACGAACTTTCTTGGCTATCACCAAGATCGAATAGGGACCTCCAGGTTAGCGAGTCAACGTCTTAATGAATGAGCCATCGCGGCTTCCGATTTGAGATGGCTTTGAAGTAAACTATTGATAGATAAATTAGTTTGAATATGTAATGTCCTTAGTCATATATCAACAAATCACATAGTATACGCGGGAAGTCATATTTAAGTGTAACGGTTCACATGGCCAAGATAAACTAACTCAGAAATAAGCTTCTTTCTGGGAGAAATGCAACGAATAAACAGAGTTATTTTCTACATCACTCGGTTCAGAAGACAGATTTCAAATCAATAATTATAGATATGAATTTGCACTAATCTATCTTTAAAAGCCGTATTATAATTATTTAGTTTGCGGATAAATATGCAGGTCTTGATTAGCCTTGTAAGTCAATGGTAATGGGGTTGGGTTGCATTCCTGATTTCACACTTCAAGGATCCCACCGGTGGGTATCATGATTCTTTCAAATTTGTGAATATGCATTTTTAAAGAAAAAATTGGCTTCATACCTCACGTTGTCGAATTTCTGCAGATGTGTTATGTAACGAAATCAAGCCGGGAATCTGTTAAGTTGTCCTCTGCGTCTGGTGGGTAAGCGACAACATATCTGAACCGATTTCCAAAGAAAACTAGAAAGCCATCACCAAGACACTAGACAGCATTGTGTACACGGGACAGTGAGGGGTCACATCTTTCTCGGTCAACACTAGGACCGAGCACGTACCCCCAGGTTAACCAGACAACGCCTTACTCACTGAGCCATCACGTCTTCAGACGGAGTCGGACGATTTTATTTATTACATGTTATCAAAACACTGCATCTCTGCACGTAAACCTGGGACGCCCGCCTCTGATTTATTTGTTGTTTA